TCCGTCGTTTGTGACACCCTGGGATATGTGCAACCTTGTGGAAGTACGTGGTTCGGATCCCTGTCAAGGTTCCGTCGTTTGTGACACCCTGGGATATGTGCAACCTTGTGGAAGTACGTGGTTCGGATCCCTGTCAAGGTTCCGTCGTTTGTGACACCCTGGGATATGTGCAACCTTGTGGAAGTACGTGGTTCGGATCCCTGTCAAGGTTCCGTCGTTTGTGACACCCTGGGATATGTGCAACCTTGTGGAAGTACGTGGTTCGGATCCCTGTCAAGGTTCCGTCGTTTGTGACACCCTGGGATATGTGCAACCTTGTGGAAGTACGTGGTTCGGATCCCTGTCAAGGTTCCGTCGTTTGTGACACCCTGGGATACGTGTAAGAAGTAACGAAGTGTTTACTAGGCAGAGTGCACGATACCGGAGTTCGGTTCACCGTTCGCCACGTTGTGTGAAACTGGGTATGCACCCTCGAGGGTACACAGTGTTTGTAACTGTCTATGGAATTTAAAGCACCAGAAATAACATTACTACTATGTCATACGCAGCTGTGATCCTTAGACTATGCACGGATAAGGTCAAGATGCCGAACACCCTGAATAGAATGCGACGCACCCCTCATGCGACTCGTGGAACACCACACGGTGCCTCTCGCTTGATGATGTGACAACCTGGTCCGGGGAGAACCCGCGTGCTCCGTCCCGGCTTTGTAGGGATGCGAGGTCAATGGTCCTATGACTACGGCATGCACGACAATGAGTACGGTCGCTTCAAGTCCACGGGGATTGTGTGCTTATTAGTTTCCATCGACAACGTTTCGAAGAAGGAAGCAATTGAAGCAGCATTACTATTTAGAGGGGTAACTCTGCCCAGCCGTTTTCTGGCACCAGGTTTTAGACGCCTTGGGGTATCGAATGTGTGGAGCAAAACGGCTGCAGCTACCCTTTCCCGCACGCTCTGGCCGTTTTTTTCGCCACGTGCCTGCTTCTTGCTTTTGCGAAAAAATAAAAGGAAACGCCTCCGCATTCCACCAGTCCAGTGAAGAAACCCTCCTTCGCCCCATATAGTGAGCGTGCAACAAACAAAGTGTAATTGCCAAATGTTCCCGACCAATAATTGCAAACAAATTGAAATTTCCTGGCAACTTTCTGCTCCCGTAACAATCTATGCAATACTTCGGTGGAGAGGATTTTGATGCCAATGTCGGTACTTCCACCCTTATTTCCCGTACGTTTCGGTAGGGTAATAGTCGAGGCATGTGACACAGGTTACGATGTAAAGGCTTTCCAAATGGACTCCGCATAGGGCAGAACTTGGATTGGCGCCCATGCGAGCGGAAACGATGAACAAACCGTCTTGGATTGAGCGTGTGTGTAATGAACCACATACACCTGAGCACACCGCGTTGTAGGGCATGTAATCAATCAATGTATGAATGAATGAATATGAAGATGGAATAGAGTTTGAATTACTGAAGTATTGCGACGGACTAAACATTAGCCCAGTTCCCACAGCTGGTTTCCCTCCACTCACTGAAAATACTTGGCACTTGTTCGACAGTTCATCACCCCTTCGACTGTGGGTATACTGTATGTAGTCTATTGCATTTGTTTCTGATTATATTTTGTTTTCTTGTATTTTATCGCTCTGCTGACCCTTGGGGTCCATTTTATTTTGGTATACGTTTTCTAGGTACGTTAGCCTGTGACCACGGAAATTGGCCGAGTCAAGTGATGGATTAGTACGGAGAGATTGAGACAGAAGGAGGTACTGGATAGAGAGACCGGGATGGTTTTTAATGTGAAGACAACAACAACAACAACATTGCATAAATCTCTGTGTTGATTTGTGGACACAGTACATTACGGCAGTAGAAAGATTTCTTAAGCAACGGCCGGAGGACCAAGTGAGAGGAGAAATACTGTGGAAAAAGAAGAACGTCGCCTTCAGCATACGGGTAGTTGGATGTATGCAGAGACCGTGCACCGAGCGACATACGTACCCGTACGTACGCACATGCATATGCCCCCCCAACATCACCGGAAATCTTAGACTCTTTTCCTCTATAGTGATGGATTCGTTGGGTCAATTGATGAAACAAAAAACACATATACGAAGCAAAAGTCGTAGTGTCGTCTACCACTTTACGCTTCGTGTGAGGTGAAATCCAATAATTTTGTGCATCTCTTCTTTCGGCCGTTTTAAACGGACAGACTTTTTTGTCAAAATTTTCGACATTTGTCTTTCAAAAACTTGGAACCTGTGTGCAGTCATTTTAAACGTGTGACGTGGACTTGTGCAACTTGTGTAAAAAAAATGACGCCGTCCGTGAGTTGTAGCGCTCACTTCGAGACAACACACACGACACAACACAAACCGCGGAAAACACGACATCATGGACACCGACATGGATATCACGACCACCCAGAGTGGCCGGCAGACCAAAACCCCGGCGAAATTCCAGCAGACGGGCTCTCTCGGTGCCGCCGTAGGCGGTGGAGGCTTGCTCTCCAGCAAGATAGTGCTGCTGCCTGGCATCTCGGGGAACACTCATGTTACCACGGGAGGCGCTGCCGCCACCAACACTCAGAGCGAGGGTGGAGCAGGCCGCCGGCGAGGGGTGGCAACCACTGCTCCTACCCCCCCGGGAAAAGGAAAAAACAAAGCGGCGGACGCGAAGCAACAACTGCAAGCCATCATGGCGGACCGCCGTTTTTCTGACGACACAGCAACAGCAGACAGCATCGTCAACGTTGGCAACAGCGACGATAGCAATAGCGACAGCGACAGATGACTCACACACAACCCTAGCTGACTTTCTACGGTGAGGGGCACTCGTGGTGCAGACGCAGCAGCCCTCGCGTGCCTCTGCAAGGGTACTTTGGAAAGTGCTCCAAATACTTTGAGAGGGTTGTCAAAAGGTTGGAACGAAGTGGAGCAAAGTTTCCGCGCCCAACTTCGTTCCAAATATTTTTGAAAAAATGGACAAACGCCTACATACAGGTTCCATTTTCGACACTTTCAAAAATTTTGACAAAAAGTCGGTCCGTTTTAAACGGCCCACTTGTAATTTTCTGCCAGAGAAACAACAGAGGAAATGGGGCGGAGGAGGAGGATGTTTGCCCCCGATCGATACTACTGATTTCGGGTTCCGAACCGTTAACTACACACACCTTATTGCACCATGACATTTTGCCCTTTCCCTAACGCAACCCGGCAACCAACCCGACCCAAACCAATACAACGGTAAGCCTTGCCGCGGCAACCGGCGGCGGTAAACGGTAGTTGTGTACACGGCTGACCCCAAGGAATGTTCCGAGAAATGGTTTATGTGGAGACAACCACTTATTTTGGACGAAGCCGTGATGAGCTCGACTTGAAGTGTACCAATAGACTGCAGATTGCTGTGCGCACGACACCGGCCGCAACGAACCCCCCCCTGCTCGCCGTCGGGATTGAAAGAGAGATGAACCCCAGCAGAAGGGTTGTTTGTGTCATGTCATGCGGAGACGTGGTTGCTTGGTTGTCGCTTGTGGCGTGTGCCGAGGATGAAATGCACTCAACCGCTGGCAGAATCAATAAGTCGTGCCGAATCTACTGCTGTATGGATGGGCTGACCAGCATCATCACGGTTCCATGCATGTCACACACAGTGACGAAGTGCAGTTTTTCAACTACTTTTGTAGTTTGGGAACGAGCCCCAACACAAGGATACATCTTAGAACCGACAACAAATGCGACACCATGCAACACCTAGCACACCTAGCGCCTTGCGCCCATCAGGGTGTTTACACTGATGGCCAGAGGGGCAGGTTGGGCACGAACCACAACCTTGGGGGGGGAGGTTGGGAGACCGAGTTCGACCTTGGACCCAGTTTTTCTTCGGGCTTGCAGCCCGCCGTGTTGATTGCAATAACGCCACTATCCAAGGTGCGGGATAACTTGCAAACTTAGGGCTGCAAACTCCCTAAAACCTCCCCCCCCAGGTTTTAGTTGGTGCCCCAACCTACGCACATACTCACCGCGTCGCCAGTGTCTACTATCGCACAGAGTTTCTTTCGCCTCGACCTCACACCAACCTCCAACAACACGTGGCACCAATGATGCATAGCAAAATTCAAATGAGATCCGGCGTTGTTTGAGATGCCCTGTGGAAACGAATCACAAAAAAAGAAAAGAAAAACCTTCTCGATAATCTAACTGCGCTGTTGTCCGCAGCAATCTACTCACTACTACCGTCCTATGACTTCTGCTCGTGATTCGGGCCCCGAAGCCCGCTGGCCCTTCTGTGCTACATGTAGAAACAGCAGTACCTTCCATCTCGAACGGGTAGACTAGTTGTTCAGTGATCATATGGTGCTCAATCAAGTTCTTCGCTTCTGATTTTTTGCGAGTGTACTTTCTTACGTGCGGGCGCTAACTGTACCCCGAAACCTTTCGTTTTACAAATAACGTTGACCGCATCGCACAGGGGGCCTTCAATGGCAAGGAAGGCCGGTTGAAGGCGCACTCCGCATGGGAAGGACGGAACCAACCGCAGGACGGCTGCGACCGGCCGACGTGTGCATCTAGTGCAGACGGAGGACGCTCTACTGTGTAGGTTGGGCTCAACGCTGCGAAGTATTCGTTTAGACTATATTATACTTCATGAGATCCAATACATAGATGGTTTCTCCCGCGAGACCACCAAAATCGTTCGTGGTAGCAGCCTTCCTCACAAACACAAGCGTATCTACATGGTTTGTTGTCATTGAGAAATGACTGCTGCTGCTGGTATTCTCCATGGTTCTGACGGGAGACAACCATGCTGCTTTGGAAACAAGAGTCTCGTGAACTGTGCGTTGGTGTGCGTACACTGCTGTAGACAGCAGTGCAACGCAACACAATACAGCAGCAGTATGGATGTTTAAAAAAACGCGATATATCAGCGTCCGCCTCCCCCGAAGCCCGCCACACACATTCGCAATACAAGTAAGCATGACTCAACAACACTGACTCACATTTCGACCAAGCTTGGCGCATTGTTCTGCTGGTCCCGTTGCAGCGTGACACCCGTAGAGAGATTACTGTAACAACAAATGCCAGTCTGTTTGTGAGCCAGCCAGCAGAGACGCCGTTCATACGCATGAGTAATTTCGCGAACAATCAATTATGGATCGTGCTGGCAGGTAGGTTGTCGGGCAGAGCAAGCTCGGTTCTTGTTGACCTTCGGACAGATTTTGCTCGATCGTGTGGTCTTTTTTTTTTCGTGTGCAGACCACTCCGGGAGGGAACACAACAATTTCATCCGTTTTTTTTTTTTCCATCGCTGCTGCTGTACAGCTTCGTGTCTCTCTCCTTCCTATGTCTCTCGCTCCCATTGGGCGCTACTTTCTTCCGTTCCTTACGCGGTGGCGGTGTCCTCAGTCTTTTCCTGACTCCCTGCGCTTTTTTTTTCGTTTTTCTTTGCGCAAATTATATACACACGGAATGCAGCGGACCACCACGTGCCCCTTCGTCTTTGACTCTCTCTCTCTATGTCGGGAGCGTATAAGGCCAAGGCCCTTGCTTATGGTTTCCAAATCTTCATCTTCCTTTCTTTCGACAAATGTTGACTTTTTCGACCTTTTTGGCAGTTTGCTTCCCGAACGAGTGCGAATCAGCTGTTCGACCTTTGAGAACAGTCACAGGTTTGGCTGAGATGTCTACAGATCGCCTACATGTTTCGCCAGGGTCCACGTTTGATTTTTTCAAGGTGCGCAATTTGCACGTAAGATTTTTCGAACACCAGCTTTTGGNGTTCCTTACGCGGTGGCGGTGTCCTCAGTCTTTTCCTGACTCCCTGCACTTTTTTTTTCGTTTTTCTTTGCGCAAATTTTATACACACGGAATGCAGCGGACCACCACGTGCCCCTTCGTCTTTGACTCTCTCTCTCTCTATGTCGGGAGCGTATAAGGCCAAGGCCCTTGCTTATGGTTTCCAAATCTTCATCTTCCTTTCTTTCGACAAATGTTGACTTTTTCGACCTTTTTGGCAGTTTGCTTCCCGAACGAGTGCGAATCAGCTGTTCGACCTTTGAGAACAGTCACAGGTTTGGCTGAGATGTCTACAGATCGCCTACATGTTTCGCCAGGGTCCACGTTTGATTTTTTCAAGGTGCGCAATTTGCACGTAAGATTTTTCGAACACCAGCTTTTGGACAGATCTTGGCCCAAGGTTTGCTCCGAGGTGGCCTTTCGGCCGAATCTTCAACATCTTGCTCTGCT